CCTTCACACACTGAGTGGCTCACTGCCGGCAGCACCGTTACCTGGTTCACCGTCAGCATCAGCATCACGAGCAGCGGCGGCCATCTTTACCCGTCTCTTCGCTCAAGAAGGCCAAAGCTATGCCGACACCTTCTGGCTCGACAGTGCATCCACCCACCAGGTGCGACCTGCAATGCAATGCACACACCAGGTTCGCCCTGCAATGCAATGCACACACCAGGTTCGCCCTGCAATGCAATGCACACACCAGGTTCGACCTGCAATGCAATGCACACACCAGGTGCGACCTGCAATGCAATGCACTCACCAGGTGCGACCTGCAATGCAATGCACACACCAGGTGCGACCTGCAATGCAATGCACTCACCAGGTGCGACCTGCAATGCAATGCGCACACCAGGTTCATGTGTTCGGAAGCGCTGCCATTGCCATCAAGAGCAGCAGCAAGAGGGGCAAAGCTATTCCGACACCTGTTGGCTCCACAGCGCATCCAAGCACCAGATGGGCATGCTGTAAGGGCGAATCCATGCACCAGGTGGGTGCATCCATGCACCTGTTCGCTGAAAGGGCGAATTCCTAGATAGAAAGATCAAGATCAACAATGTTTTGAGCTTGGTGTTTTATAACGTCAGGATCAACAACCCCAAAAGCCCATCGCAGTGCGACGCCGCACAAGGCAACGCTACGTCTGCTTGCGATCCGACGTGGTCGATTTGGAATGCCAAAAAATGGGACAAGCAGACCCCCCCAACGCAGGATTTCGCGTTGGAGTTGCGAAAAAGGTTGGTGATTGGTCGTCGGCTTTTTCTTTTTCCTTCGTCTTGGCTCTCATTCGAGCCTGCCGTGCGTTAAGACATTTTGTGTGTGCATTTATGGCGAAGGCGCTAGTAAAGACGCCCAATCAAAGTCGCTCGGGCGACGATGACATGGTCGTCCCACATTTCTAATCCCCGTGTCGTAGCACAGACGGAATGCTGGTTCAAATTTGTTTTTTGCGTTTTTTTTTTTTTCTTGATCTTTCTATCTAGGAATCCGCCCTTGTAATATATTCTTGTTGTCTGTTTGGCTGACTCTAAAGTCATGCGATTGTTTGCTAACAGCTCTTGCAGTAAGGGTAGCAAGAGGGGGAGGAAAACAAGAGATTCAATGGAAGGCCCCTGGGTTTTGCTCACACCTCCTGCTTCGGTCGGTTCCGTGTTTCCCTCCCCCTCTTGATACCCAGGGCTTGGCGCGTTTGGCCGACATTGGTGGAATGGGGGAATCGCTCTGGTCCCGGCTCGCATTCAAGTTGGCAGCTCAAACCCCCTCTGCTGACCCTTTGCTTCCCTCCCACCTGCATCTGTTTCTCCCCCTACTGCCAGGGCTTTGCGCGCTTTTCCTACATGGGTGGGAGGGGGGGTCCCCTCTGGTCCAAGCTCACATACAGGCTGGCTACTGAACTGGCTTTGACAAGTGACACACTCATTGACAGCGCCACGCACAACAGTACTAGCACTGGAAATAGCAGCAGCAGAAGCAGTAGGGATAGGAGCACCAGCCGCAGTGGCGCTACTAGTAGCAGTAGCGTCCCCTTCAGCAGCAACAGTAGCAACAGTAGCGCTAGCAACAACGGTAGAAGTAGCAGCAACCATAGCAGTAGTAGCAGCAGCAGTAGTAGTGATAGCCATAGCACCAGTAGCAGCAGTAGCAGCAGAAGCAGCAGTTATAGCCTTAGCAGCAGCAGCAGCAGCCAGCCCACATTGAACGGGGGCGGCACATTTGATAGTGTCACGGGTGGCACTCTCCTATTGGAGAGCAGCCAGGGGGATGTGACTATAGTGAAGGAGGGGACGTGGCAAGGCGGTATCTTCAGCTTTCTGGAAGAGGTGAGCAGATTGGTCTTAGGGGAAGTCAGTATGAGGGTATAGTATAGTAGTGTCAGTATAGTAAGGTATGTAAGGATAATTTAGGGTATGGGAGGAAAGGTCACCTCTCTCTCTCCCTCCCTTCCTCCCTCCCTCCCTCCCTGTCTTCTCCCCTCCTACCTCCCTCTCAAGCTTTGGGTAAGTTTACTGTGCCATTCCAGGTAACTCCTAAGTGCAATTTCTGGAAGGTCATAGTGCTATTTGTGGTTGAACCACAGAGCTTCTACTCCTCCCTCCCTAGCCTAGCCCGTGTCGAACTCCTCCCTTCCTTTCGGACTCATCTCGCACCTGCTTCTGCCCATTGCGTCCCCCCTTGTCTCTAACATATATTACAACACCCCCCTCCCCCCAACCGCAGCACCTGCAGCAGCACCAGTGCGACCCGCACGAGGCTGCTGCTCTACCCTTTGACTTCTGTGGCGGCTGGGTCGGCTATTTTGGGTAGGTCCATGGAGCCATTCGGGGTAAATTCACAGTGCTATTCCGGGCAAGTCACTTGTGGTCTTTTGGGTTCAGGCTTCTGAATAAACGGCTTCTCGTCCTTTTCTCGTCTTCTTGCTTCTCGTTTTTCCTCTTCTCGTCTGTTTGTGTCTTGTCTTTCTGCACGGGTGGATGGGGGAGTGCGGTGTGGGGCGCAGAGCTCAACCGTCTCACGTCACCTTCCCTGATGCTGCATTCATCCATGTCCAATGATGGGTTCTGAGTCAACTCAAAGTCAATTTCCTTTTGAGTTGACTCAAAAGTCAATCTCGTTTTGAGTCGACTTAAAAGTCAATCTCATTTTCAGTCGACTCAAAAGTCAATCTCGTTTTGAGTCGAATCAAAAGTCAATCTCGTTTTGAGTTTACTCGAAAGTCAATCTCGTTTTGAGTCGACTCAAAAGTCAGTCTCGTTTTGAGTCGACTCAGAAGTCAATCTCCTTTTGAGTCGACTCAAAGTCAATCTCGTTTTGAGTCGACTCAAAAGTTAATCTCGTTTTGAGTCGACTCAAAAGGCAATCTCGTTTTGAGTCGACTCAAAAGTCAATCTCGTTTTCAGTCGACTCAAAAGTCAATTTCGTTTTGAGTCGACTCAAAAGTCAGTCTCGTTTTGAGTCGACTCAAAAGTCAATCTCGTTTTGAGTCAACTCAAAAGTCAGTCTCGTTTTGAGTCGACTCAAAAGTCAATCTCGTTTTGAGTCGACTCAAAAGGGAGTGCGGTGTGGGAGCAGAGCTCAACCGCCACACGTCATCCTTCCCTGGGGTGTGGGAGCAGAGCTCAACCGCCACACGTCATCCTTCCCTGGGGTGTGGGAGCAGAGCTCAACCGCCACACGTCACCCTTCCCTGCGGTGTGGGAGCATAGCTCAACCGCCACACGTCACCCTTCCCTTCCGTGTCGACCGATGGGTGCTTGCTGCTTGCTGCTTGCTGCTTGCTGCTTGCTGCTTGCTGCTTGCTGCTTGCTGCTTGCTGCTTGGTGCTTGGTGCTTGGAGCTTGGAGCTTGGTTCTGGACCATGGACAAGGAGAAGGGACGATGTGTGCCTGCGCACTGCTCTCACTCCCTCCTTGCCCTTCCCCTCCTTGCCCTTCCCCTGCTTGCCTTTTCTCGCACGAAGGCCGAGGCACTGGCCTTTATTATCCCCTGGGCCGAGCAGGCGCGCACCCACTTTGGTCGTCCGCCACGCCTCCCCCTTCCCTGATGCTGCACTTTTCTGTGCCGTCTGTGTGATAATTCTCAGTGCTTTGTTCTCAATCCTTCCTTCCCTTGTCTCGCAGGTACGAGCTGAAGAGGGAGTGTGGGGCCGAGCACAACCGTCACGCCTCCCCCTTCCCTGATGCGGCGTTCTTCTGTGTGGACCGATGGGTGGTGCTGGACCACGACGAGGGGGACGTGTACGTGTGTGCTGTTCAGGAGAGAGGAGAGTCTATTTCGGAGGCGCCTCGAATGCGGGACCATGGGGTTGAGGGGAGGAGGGGGGAGAGAGAAGTGGAGGAAGTCGAGGAGATATGGGGAGGGAGGGGAGCAGGGAGAACGGAGGAGAGCGCAGAGGAAGCGGAGAGTAGGAGTGAAATGAGGGGCGAAAGGAGGGGTGAAATGAGGGGTGAAAGGAGGGGTGAGAGTATGGGTGAAAGGAGGGGTGAGAGTATGGGTGAAAGGAGGGGTAAGAATATGGGTGAGGAAGGGGATGAGAGCAGGAGTTGTGGTGGTGGTGCAAATGAAGGGGCGTATGCTGGTTTTGTGCTTCGATCTGGCTCAACAAGGGGAGAAGGGGAGGAGACAAACGAGGGGAGAGGGTATGGGAAAGCAGATGAGAGAAGAGGAGAGCTGGCCGAGGGATATAAAGAGGTTCGGCTAGGCATACCTGGAAAGGTGGGAGTTGGAGATTTCAAGGGCGTAGAAGGGCAGATAGGAAGGGAAACGCCGAAGTGCAGCAGAGAGTGGGTGGCAGAAACAGCAGACAGGCTGATGGCTTTTGTGGAGGGAAGGGCGGTGGTAAGCAGTAGCAAGGGTTGGAGTGAGAGGGAGCAGAGTGAGGGGGAGCCGAGTGAGGGGGAGCAGAGTGAGTGTGGGAAAGGGGCCTCCGCCGAGGAGGGCAGGTGTGTTACAGGAGGAAGAGCAGATGCAAGGTTTCCAAGAGAGAGCAGATTCGTTGCAGCCATTGGTGATGCGAGGCGGCACTCCAACGGTGCCACAAGGGGGGACTTTAACTTGACCGTTCTTCCAGAGCCTCTTGTGCTAGAGCGTGGCAGGGAGCACTACTCCACTGATGTGGCTCGATGTCTGGCGGAGATTGCTCAAGGGGAGAGCTATGAGCTCTGCCTTACTACTCGGCTTGAGAGCGAATCGCAGCCGTCGGATCCGCTCGGGACGTATCTACGGCTGAGAGAGAGGAACCCTGCTCCCTTTGCTGCATGGATGTGCATGGGTGGGGGGGGAGGAAGGGAGGTAGTGGGGGCGGGGGAGGAGGCTGAGGAGGAGAAAGAGGGAGAAAAGGAGGAAAGGGGGGAGGAGAAGGAAGAGGAGAAAAAAAGGGGGGAAGAGGATGACAGGCATAAGGGGCAGCAGTCTGTACTCCATGCCCCTTTCTCCCTGTGCTGCTCGTCGCCTGAAAGGTTCCTTAGGGGCGACAGGAGAGGCATGCTGTGGGCGAAGCCCATTAAGGGCACCATGGCACGCGGAGCAACAGAGGAGGAGGACGAGAGGCTGAAGAGAGAGCTGATGAGCAGGTGAGCAGTTGGATGGATGGGAGGGGTTGAGGGGCTTCAGAGGGGCATGCTGTGGGCCAAGCCCATAGAGGCGACGATGGCTCAAGGTGTCTTTTGTTATTTAGAATTCTCAAAAACTGAACACATCCTAGCTTCTCACTCCCTCGTTTTGTTATTGGTTGGAGGTTACCAAGTAGGTTATGGAACCTACTCTCAACCCTTGTCCGATCCACACTTGCCCTCTCAACTACCATCATCTCCCACAGTGACAAGGACAGGGCAGAGAATCTCATGATTGTCGATCTCCTGCGTAACGACCTCGGGCGAGTCTCAACCGTTGGATCGGTGCACGTCCCTGCTCTCATGGCCGTTGAATCCTTTGCCACTGTTCATCAGCTCGTCAGCACTGTAGCGGCACAACGCCGCCCGGACCTCTCCCCACTGGCCTGCATCCGAGCGGCATTTCCGGGCGGCTCAATGACCGGCGCACCCAAAAAGAGATCTATGGAGATCTTGGATGAAATCGAAGGGTCGGCAAGGGGGCCTTATTCAGGTGCCCTGGGGTTTGTATCGTTTTCGGGCACCTTCGACCTAAATATTGTGATTCGGACAGCTGTGATGGGAGGAGATATGGGGGATGGATCGAGGGGGAAATCAAAAGCAGGGGAGGACGGGGAGGCAGAGCAGGGGGGTGTGAATGCTGGGGGAGGGGAGAGTGGGGGAGTGAGTGGAGAAGAGGAGTGGAGAGAAGGCGAGGGCGAGGGGCGAGTAGAGAGAGCAGGTAGGGAGAGAAAGACTGGTAGACGAAAGGGCAGGACGATGATCGGAGCAGGAGGGGCGGTGGTGATGTTATCGCAGCCAGAGAGTGAGTTTGAAGAGATGGTGCTTAAAGCGAGGTCTCTGGTGAGGGTGCTGAGACCAGACGGGACTGATGATCTCAAGGGGGTGTGATTGGGTAATTGAGACTGGGTGGAAATGTTGTGGGAATGGAGACTCATCTCAAGTTTTATTAATGGTTATCTTCATTGTGGCTAAAACTGTTTTTGACTCCATAGCCTGTCAATGCAATTGGTTAACTGCACATCGACATGTGATGTGCTCTAAGGACAATTGTACGTTGTAAGGAAATTTAGTGTATTTGGAATCACCTTGTTCTTTCCACTGTGCAGATTTTTGTCAAGGCATCTCTATTGCTGTAACGCAAAAGTCTCTATGGGTCGGCCACCTCAGCATCTCTGTCAGGCACGTGTCGAACCTCAAATCTGGCCGGACTTTTTAAGGAAATATCACTGGAACAAGGGATGTTGTCCAATCACGAGCCGCGCTTTGACCGTTCCAAATCTACGGTGCAAGTTGTCGTAAGGGAATGCCTGATGGGACTAGTTCCCAGGGCGCGATGCAGAGAATCACTTGTCACATCTGGTGTCACTGGTCTGTAACCAATATTTCGCTAAAACGTCAGAAATGCTGTCGGCAAAACGACTGGTCCAGTCTCCGACGAATAACAGCGGCGCCTTGCAACAAACTTCCTAGCCGAGGTTCGCAACTCAGAAGAAGCTTTCTAGCGGGATCATCTTTACCACACGCTTGCTGCATTGCTGCACCCCGATAGACGTACTGAGTATGTCATCTGAGGACAAGTCGCGCCCTTAGATTGAAGCTTTGTTTCATGAGAAGGGTGGGAAGGGAGACCTGCTGCAGGGGGTGCGTTGCCATGCCGTGCTGGGAGTGGGAGTGTGCCACCAGGGCGAGGCAACAATATTTTGGAAATTCAGATAGCAGCATCCATTGTTCCGAGGAATGCAATCCTGGCAACTGCTTGTCCAGCTAGATTGGTTCAGGCCACCATACCTCGTGATGCACTGCATGTGACCACTGACTGCACTCGGCATTACCGCTCGCGCCGCCTGGTCTCTTTCTCGGTTGAAACGCGAGTCCTTGGATCTCTCGAAACCGAGCTCGGCTGGAAATATTTCCAGCTGGATTTCTCCATTTCGATCTAGTTACTGCTCCTTGGTCATTCTATGGCTGCCTGCTTTCGCCTAGTTCCGACTGCTACTTGCCGCCGCCTGGTACGCGAAATCTGGGACGGTGTTTACGAATGATCCATTATTCTATAGCATATTTTCAGCCGTCCAATCTTAGACTCGGTGTGCTTGCTATCTTCGCTTTGGTTCATCGTAGCCTTAGTACGTAAAAAAAATCTTCGGCGCCTCGAATATGCAGGCTTAGAAGGTGAAAATCCTTCCCATTTTGTGCAGGATCTGCAGAATCGTGCCGGAGCCACTCTGTTGAGCGGCGCGACATCCGTTTCGTCTATTTCTAAGGCAGTCAGGTCCGTGACCGCTGGAATTCTCATGACATCCGCAACCAGCTCCACCAGGCAGTCAGCTTTGCTCTGATCATGGGCTTTGTACCGAGGTGACTTTTGAGTCGACTCAAAAGTCACCTGGTCCGCGCTGATCATGGGCTTGCCTGACCTAGGGTTAATCGAGTCTTCTAGGTTCACTGAACATCAACCTAAGACATTCGCGAAATCCCTGCCGTCGCATGTGCAGCAATGATCCGTGGAGAATTTGTGCTTGTCGTGCCATGATGCGTTTGCTCTGTTCCGTTTTTTTTCTTTCTCTCTTTCTTTCTTTCCTCAGCTCAGCGCAGCTCGTCGGCTCCTCTCTGCTCCTCGATTCCTCGAGCCAAGAGGTTTTTTCGACGCACGCACCCGCGTCGAGGCACTCGAAGAGCGCCGCTTGTGCAGGTCGCTCCAGCCGAAGCCTCGTCTACGCCATGGCTGCAGGTAGGGCGCTGAAAGCGATGCTTGTGTGCTGAATGTGTTGGTATGTTGGTGATGATGCGGATGCTGATGCGGATGCGGATGCGGATGCTGATGCTGATGCGGATGCTGATGCGGATGTGGATGCTGATGCTGATGCGGATGCTGATGCCGATGGAACGGCGAAGTCGATGGATCAGCCTTCTCCACCGCAGCTGCATCTCCGCCATGGCTGCTGTTTAGGTGAGGCAAGAGCCTTCTTCGCTCATAGTAGAAGGTTTTTGAGTCAACTCAAAATACTTCGTCGCTCATAGTAGAAGGATCAGCCTCCCAGTGTAAATCCCCTGCCTCTGCCTTTGCCTTTGCCTTCGCCTCTGCCCCTGCCGCCCTTCCAGCAGTGTTGCCCGAGAACACACCTGTGGTCTCCCCCCAGTGGCTTCACGACAACCTCTCTAAAGTCAAGGTCCGTACAGTCACAACCGTAGGCAGTCACAGCCGTGGGCACTCACAGTCGCTTTGCAGCGCTTGGAAGGCTTTGGATTCTGCTTTTGCCTGTCCCCTGCCATGCTATGCTAGTGGGGGGTTTTCGAGTCGACTCAAAAATCCCCTGCCATGCTAGTGGACGCCCTGGCTTCTCCTCCTCCGCTCGCTCTCCCCCTCCCCCCCCCGCTCCCCCTTCCATTAGATCCTCGATACCTCCTGGTACATGCCTGCGGAGAAGCGCCTCTCCTTCCGCCAAACAGGTTCCCCCTCTCCCCCTCCCACTCGTCCCCCCCCCAATCAGGTTCTAGCCGCCTCGTGGTACATGCCTGCAGGGAAGCGACTCTCCTTCCCCCAAGCAGGTTCCCCCTTTCCTCCCCCTCCTCTCGCTCCCCCCGCCTCTTCCCGCCTCTTCCCCCCTCTTCCCCCCTCTCATCAGGTTCTCGACGCCTCGTGGTACATGCCTGCAGAGAAGCGGCAGCCATTTGAGGAGTTCCAGGTAGTACTTAGTGGTTTGGGGATGTCAAGCAAAGGGGGCGTGGGGGGGGAAGAAGAGAGTGGGAAATCGAGAGGTGCGGACGTGCGTTGTTAGTGCCACAAGTCGTTTGTGGCATCCCTCCGATCACCTGCTGTTCTCTCCCTCATTCGTCTCTTCTTCATCCCCCACCTCGTCACCCACTCCCCCCCCCACCCACGCCCCCCCCACCCCCCCACCCCCCTTCCCCGCCCTCCTATTTCTTTTCGCTCTAGCAACTGTGCCGTCTTCGGCTACATGTCTCGCCACCTTGCCTCCTCTGTCTCCTTCCTTTGAGTCGAAGTCTCCTCGTTACAATGTCACGTGACACTGTCTTTGACGACATAACTTGCGGCCTTACCACCTCTTTCCCCTTCTTCCTGTTTCCTTCTCCAACTATCTTCTCCCTCACTCACTCTCACCCCCACGCGCACAGCATGGGATGATCCCGGGAGCGATCTCCTTTGACATGGATGCTACAGCCGACCCCACATCCCAGTATTTAATCTCCCTCTCCCTGCCGTACTTACTGTATTTTATCTCCCTGCGACCTTCCCGTGCCCCTCTCGACCCCACTTCCTCACCCTCACCCCCACACCCTCAACCCCACGCGCACAGCATGGGAGGATCCCAGGAGCGATTTTCTTTGACATTGACGCCATTGCTGACCCCACGACGGATGTGAGTGTCTCGCCTTGATGTGACAGTGACAGGAGTCTCCCATGGTGATGTGAGTGCGTTACACTGATGTGAGTGCGTTACGCTGATGTGAGTGCGTTACGCTGATGTGGGTGCGTTACCCAGATAAGAGTGCGTTACACTGATGTGTGTGTGTGCATGTGGCATATTGATCTTTCATTACTCCCCTCCACATTCTCCTCTGCCTTCTTTCCGAACCTTTCCTTTTGATCCCCTCGCCCATGTCTCCCACCTCTTCTATCCTGGGCGGCAGCTCCCCCACATGCTGCCGACAGAGGCCGCCTTTTCTGCAGCGGCGTCAGCGCTTGGTTTGTCATCTAGCGACAGCATAGTGGTGTACGACGGCAAGGGCCTCTTCAGCGCTGCTCGAGCGTGGTGGTGAGTGGTGCAGTGCAGTGCAATGCGGTATCATCTCCTCCACTTGCCAATGTCGCACTCCCCATCCATCCCCCTCTATTGTTTACTTCCCCGATGTCGTGTTACTCCGTCCGAACCCTCCCCACTTCCCCTCTGTAGCACATACAGTGTTCTGTGTATGTGCCGGTGCTATACGAGGTTCTGTTGAGACCTCTCACTTGCACCTTCCTCGTCTCTGCGTGTCATTCCGATGCTGGGAAGACAACTGAGATGTGGAAGCTCAGCTACCGGATATGGAACGCGTGTGTAGACATATCTAACAGAAATTAGCTAACCACCGCTGAAAAGGAGAAGAATGCCAAACTCCGCAACATTGCAGCAGACGTCCTTCTGGCTGCTGGAGAAAACTCTGCCGTGCATTCCAGCCTTTTGAAGATTGCAATGTTCTTTCAAAGAACTGGCTGCTTATGGATTCAACTCAATCGGTTTGAAACGGCGGAAGCTTGCTTGGCGAAAGCCACTGAACTCTGCACCAAAGCCAAAGACGTGATCAAGGACGATGATCCTGCCATTCAGCATGAGCTAACAGTTCTGAGTTTCGACGTTCATGTCGCCAGGGCCAAGGCTTCGTGGGAAGTTAATCAGACTGCGCTGGCCAGTAACATCCTCGGTCGAGCTGTGCTTCTTCTACCACAGCTGCCAGAGAAGGCGGTCGACCTCGCTGACACACACCGAGACCTCACTTAGTTTTGAGACGTCTCACTTTCATCTTCCTCGTCGTCCCCGGGTGTCTTTCGAGTCGACTTATTAGGCACATTGAGACCTCTCACTTGGACTCCCACACTCCCTCTCCCCAGGCCAGACAGTGCTTTCTTTCTATGCCTCAGATTGATGTTTGACTCTACTCAAAAATCACCCCAAAAAATCACCTCAAAAATCACTTCTGAGTTGACTCAAAAATCACCGGGGACAGACAATGCTTTCTCTGCTTCAGATTACACATCCCACAATGGCGCTTCTCTACTCTCTCCTCGTGTCTGCTGACAGTGCGTGCTTACTCTCCCTTCCGTTGCGTTTGGCCATCCCCATGTCACTCTGCTTGACAGTGTCCAAGACGTTTTAGAATTCCACTTCGTTTCCGCTTTTGCCTTTTCACCCCCATCCCCCCCAATCCCACCCCCCTCCCCTCCCCCCCCACCTGACCTGACCCCCTGCTCCGCAGGATGTTCCGTGCCTTCGGCCATCCCCGCGTGGCCCTGTTGGACGGCGGACTGCCAGCCTGGCGGGCGGCAGGCTACCCGGTCGACACAGAGCCGTCGGACGGCGCTGCTGGGCGGCACAAGGCAGCGGCTACTGCTATCAAGGACAGCTACTCTAAAAAGGTACGTCTTGGGCGGCTGCCAGCTGCTAAAGCTCTCTGGGCGGCAGGACTGCTATTGTAAGAAGGTAAATACCAGGCGGCTGCCAGCTGCTAAAGCTGTCAGGGCGGCGGGACGGACAGCTGTTCGTCTAAGGATGTTGTGTATCAATCAAGTCCATGCGAGGCAGGATAGAGAGGCAGCCATAAAGAGGGGCCGTGAAGAGGGGCCATGGGGAGAGGCCTTCCCTCCTCTCCGTCACCCATCCCCCTCCTCTGCTCCTCACATGCCCCCACACTCCTTGCCCCATGCACCCCTTTTTGAGGCGCCTCAAAAACCATGCAACCCCTTCCTCCATACTCCCTCTTCTCTCTCGCTCCCTCCGACCCCCCCGCTCACTTTGCCCCATGCAACCCCTCCCAACAAGAAATCTCCCATCCCTCTCCTTTCGCACACATCCCCCACACATTCTCCCATCCCTCTCCCGCTCTCCACCTGGTTTTCTTCGCCTTTTGAACCATTTAGTCCAAAACATGTAGAAGGATGAGCTGCTGATGATTCATCGAGTCCAAGGTGCTGATTCATGCATCAACATCTCGTCTTCTACCATTGTTGAAATGGTGACGAGAACGAGCGACGTGAAATGCTATCGCCGTGGGTGGAATAAGGTAGTAGATAGTTAGTGAATGACGATGAAGTAGGCGATGATGCATGTAGCTGTTTTTGAGTCGACTCAAGTGAAGTGGGTGATGGAAGATGATTATGCTCGCTATGGGAGAGATGGTCCATTTAGCTAGCTGTTTCTGGATCTTATAACGAATCTGCTCTGTTAATCCATGTGCACGGCCCATGGCCCATGGCCCATGGCATGGAATATGAGTTGGTTCGTCCCCTCATTCGCTCATGCACTCACGCTCCTCTCCCTCCCCCCCCTTCCCTCCCCTGGTTCAGGGTGCGTCCAACCGTCTCCTGACCTTCAACGCCAAGCTGCAGCCCAACCTCATCCTCTCCGTTGACCAGGTGAGCCCTGCTCGCACCAGGTGAGTCCTGCACCAGGTAAGCCATCTCCCCAGTATCTAGCTGCTTCCTGACCTTCAACGCCAAGCTGCAGCCCGACCTCATCCTCTCCGTCGACCAGGTGGGCTCCTGCTTCCACCAGGTGAGCCCTGCTTGCACCAGGTGAGCCCCTGCTTGCACCAGGTGAGCCCTGCTTGCACCAGGTGAGCCCTGCTTGCACCAGGTGAGCCCTGCTTGCACCAGGTGAGCCCTGCTCGCACCAGGTGAGCCCTGCTCGCACTAGGTGAGCCCTGCTCGCACGGAATAAGCCCTCAACTATTTATGCAGCACCCGGGTTTATCGTCTCTCCTGACCCTCAACACCAAGCTCCACCCCAACCTCATCCTCTCCGTTGACCAGGTGAGCCCCTGCTTCCACCAGGTAAGCCATCTCCCCAGTATCTAGCTGCTTCCTGACCTTCAACGCCAAGCTGCAGCCCGACCTCATCCTCTCCGTCGACCAGGTGGGCTCCTGCTTCCACCAGGTGAGCCCTGCTTGCACCAGGTGAGCCCCTGCTTGCACCAGGTGAGCCCTGCTTGCACCAGCTGCTTGCACCAGGTGAGCCCTGCTTGCACCAGGTGAGCCCTGCTCGCACCAGGTGAGCCCTGCTCGCACTAGGTGAGCCCTGCTCGCACGGAATAAGCCCTCAACTATTTATGCAGCACCCGGGTTTATCGTCTCTCCTGACCCTCAACACCAAGCTCCACCCCAACCTCATCCTCTCCGTTGACCAGGTGAGCCCCTGCTTCCACCAGGTGAGCCCTGCTTGCACCAGGTGACCCCCTGCTTGCACCAGGTGAATCCTGCACCAGATAAGCCCTGCGTTGTCATTGTGGTATGTGAAACCAGGAAACAGTTCACCTGCTTTTCTCCCTGCACCAGATCGTCTACTTGGCTCATGAGCCAGATCGGCTTTAAAGCCAAATCGGCTCAAAAACCAAATTGGCTCGAAAGCCAAATCGGCTCAAAAGCCAAATCGGCTCAAAAGCCAAATCGGCTCAAAAGCCAAATTGGCTCAAAAGCCGGAAAATTGCAGCAGACGTTGATAGTTGGTTACTGTGGGCTTGCACGTAAGTGAGATCCCAAGGACTGTCACTCATGGAGGTAGACAGGAGAAATTAGTTCCTGGGGGCGCGCACTGCCCTTCACTTTTGAGCCAACTGAAAAGTCAGCGTGCACTGCCCTTCACTGCAAACAACCAGGCGATGCCCGGTTCCTCCCAGTGTGCCATCGTAGTGAGTTGATTTTTGAGACTTCACAGAAACCCAAAAAACCAGGCGATACGCGGTTCCTCGCAGCATGACATCGTGCTGTAGGTAGCGTTGAGTGTGTTTATGCTTTCTGTTCTGTGCTGGCGTTTTTGTCCTCCCTGCTTGTGTGTCCAGGTGAAGGCCAATATCGAGAATAAGGTGTATCAACTCTCTGATGCTCGCTCCGCTGGCAGGTACGCTGTGATGGGGGGGGTTGTAACTGGCTACAGTAACTGTTGTCTTATGAGTTAGCTATGCCAATGTTTTTGTTGCATGTGTATATCATTTTTTCATGTGTTTATTCGTATCTTTGCATGCTTCTAGGTTCAAGGGTGTAGATCCCGAGCCAAGAGCAGGAGTGCGAGGAGGAAGCATCCCAGGAAGCTTCAATGTCCCCTTTCCCGAGGTATGATCCCTACAACATTTTTTCTGCTTTTTGTTCTTTCCTTTTTTTCCCATTAAAACGCTATAGCTTTATTATTGCTAGTTTCAAGTGTATGTTTCAGCCAGTATGAGTTGCCAAGGTGTTGTGTACATCACCAATTATTCGTCCCCTTTCCATCTGCTGCAACCAGCACTCCCGTTGCTCCGAACGCGTCTTCCCACGACCGACCTTTATAACTGCACCGCAGCAAATTCACCGCACTCTTTCCTCTACAACTGCCCTCACTCCCACCACCCTCACCAGGTGTTGACTTCCCCAGGTAAAGCTCAAGGGTTCTTCAGATCCCACCCAAGGCAGTGTACGCAGCGTGCTTAGTGCTGCATGTCTCCCGTCCTGTCCACGCACTCCCACCACCCTCACCAGGTTTTGACCCCCCAGGGTCAGTTGAAGCCTGCTTCAGATCTCACCCAAGTCTTTAAGGGCGCAGGCAAGTCAACAGGCTCATTTGGTCATGGGAAAGGGGAGGGAAGGGAAGGGGAGGGGAGGGGAGGGAAGGGGGGGGAGGGGAGGGAAGGGGAGGGGAGGGGAGGGAAGGGGGGGGGAGGGGAGGGAAGGGGAGGGGAGGGGAGGGGAGGGAAGGGGTATCTTCTGGTGTTGCAACTGTCAATTTTGCCCCTTCCAACCATCACCTCTTCCTACCATTACAACTCCTTCCTACCTCGCATAACTTCATGCCTGTGTAACACCGTGTAACCCTGTGTTAACCCTTTGTAACCCTGTGTAACCCTGTGGAACCCTGTGTAACCCTGTGTAACCCTGTGTAACCCTGTGTGGCCCTGTGTAACCCTCTGTAACCCTGTGTGACCCTGTGCAACCCTGTGTGTCCGTGTCTAACCCTGTGTTATCCCTACGTGATCCTGTGTAACCCTGTGTGATCCTGTGTAACCCTGTGTTATCCCTGTGTAACCCTGTGTGACCCTGTGTGACCCTGTGTAACCCTGTGTGACCCTGTGTGACCCTGTGTAACCCTGTGTGACCCTGTGTGACCCTGTGTAACCCTGTGTGACCCTGTGTTCGACCCCATGCTTCCAGGTGTCAACATAGAGGACTCCAAGCAGCCCCTTGCTGCCTCATGTGGCACCGGGGTCACTGCCTGCGTGCTCGCACTGGTATGTGTGCTGGCTTTGGCCTAGTGTTGGTAAGTAAGAGAGACTTGCAAGTGCATGATGGCTCCTGGACCGAGTGGGGCAGCCCTCACCATACCTCAGTTGCCTTGACACACGGCTACACGGCTACTTGCCTGTGTCTTCACCCTTCCCCATGGCAGGCTCTGGCGCGCATTGGGCGGTGGGACGTGCCGGTGTATGATGGTTCCTGGACCGAATGGGGCAGTCTGCAGGACACACCCGTTGTCAAGGCGGAGTAACGGCAAGACATGACACGACACACCTGCTGGTTACCATCTAAAAAACCACCAAATGGGGCAGCCTGCAGGACGCACTCCTTGTCAAAGCGAAGTGATGAGTCGATCCTTAACGTGACGTGGCATGGCAAGCCTGTCTCAGAGTACATGCAGCCTGTTGTCAGCTTATACATGGGAGTTGTAATTAGGTCGTGAAGTAGGGCACCTACTACCTACCAGTACCTACCAGTTCCTACCAGTACCTACCAGTACCTACCACCTACCGTGCCCTTATATTGGTTCAGTTGGTCTCCGCAATTGAACCACCGCTTTCTACACTAGGTGAAGGGAAAGAACATACCGTATTTGAGTATGTGATACTCAAGCAGTACAAAAAGGTACCCCCTTACTGTATGTTCCCCCTGTCAAACATGTGTATTTGTCATGTTTGTATAGACTGTATAGAGTCACCTCTTAGAGGATACAAAACTTAGATATATTTGTGTGTACTCTCTCTTTACTATCATTCAATTATTCTGATATGGTATCACGCGTAGGTAGGATCCCCCCCCCCACCTACCGCTTCCGCTCATGCCCCCTAGCGCCCCTCCTGGGCCCCGTCGCGCTCCTCCCAGGCCCCGTCGCGCTCCTCCCAGGCCCCCCTAGCGCCCCTCCTGGGCCCCATCGCGCTCCTCCCAGGCCCCGTAGCGCCCCTCCTGGGCTTCGTAGCGCCCCTGCCAGGCCCCGTCGCGCCCCTCCTGGGCTTCGTAGCGCCCCTGCCAGGCCCCGTCGCGCCCCTCCCAGGCCCCGTCGCGCTCCTCCCAGGCCCACTAGCGCCCCTCCTGGGCCCCGTCGCGCTCCTCCCAGGTCCCGTAGCGCCCCGTCGCGCCCCTCCTGGGCCCCGTAGCGCCCCTCCTGGGCCTCGTCGCGCCCCTCCTGGGCTTCGTAGCGCCCCTCCTGGGCCCTGTACCGCCCTCCCAGGCCCCGTCGCGCCCCTCCCAGGCCCCGTCGCGCCCCTCCCAGTCCCTCTAGCGCCCCTCCTGGGCCCCGTCGCGCTCCTCCCAGGCCCCGTAGTGCCCCGTCGCGCCCCTCCTGGGCCCCGTAGCGCCCCTCCTGGGCCTCGTCGCGCCCCCTCCTGGGCTTCGTAGCGCCCCTCCTGGGCCCTGTAACGCCATCCCAGGCCCCGTCGCGCCCCTCCCAGGCCCCGTCGCGCTCCTCCCAGGCCCCCTAGCGCCCCTCCTGGGCCCCGTCGCGCTCCTCCCAGGCCTCGTAGCGCCCCTCCTGGGCTCTTTCGCGCCCCTCCTGGGCTCCGTAGCGCCCCTCCTGGGCCCCGTCGCGCCCCTCCTGGGCCCCGTAGCGCCCCTCCTGGGCCCCGTCGCGCCCTCCTTGGGCCCTGTAGCGCCCCTCCTGGGCCCCGTCGCGCCCCTCCCAGGCCCCGTCGCGCCCCTCCCAGGCCCCGTAGCGCCCCTTCTGGGCCTCGTCGCGCCCCTCCTGGGCTTCGTAGCGCCTCTCCTGGGCCCCCCGTCGTGCCCCTCCTGGGCCCCGTAGCGCCCCTCCTCGGCCGCGTCGTACCCGTCGCCGCCGCCCGGCCCCGTCGTGCCCGCCCGGCGCCGTCGCGCCCGCCCGACCCCGTCGCCGCCGCCCGGCCCCGTCGCGCCCGCCCGGCGCCGTCGCCGCCGCCCGGCCCCGTCGCGCCCGCCCGGCGCCGTCGCACCCTGCCCGGCCCGTCGCGCTCGCCCGGCCCCGTCGCAGCCGCCCGGCCCCGTCGCACCCGCCCGGCCCCGTCGCACCCTGCCCGGCCCCGTCACAGCCGCCCGGCCCCGTCGCACCAGCCCGGCCGCCGTCCCGCTCGCCCGGCCCCGTCGCACCGGCCCGGCCCTGCCGCACTCGCCCGGCCCCGTCGCCCCAGCCCGGCCCCGTCGCGCCCGCTCGGCCCCGTCGCCCCGTCCCGGCCCTGTCGCATCAGCCCGGCCCCGTCGCGCCCGCCCGGCCCCGTCGGGCCAGCCCCGGCCCCGTCCTCCTCACTGGTACGGTTCTCCCCCCCCCCCCCCCCCCCCCCCCCACCCCGCCCTGCTCCGTGCCGCCCTGCACCGCACTGCACCGCACTGTACCGCACTGCACCGCACTGCACCGCACTGTACCGCACAGTACCGCACTGCACCGCACTGTATCGCACTGCACCGCACCCCACCTAGCTGCACCGCCCTGCACAGCACTGGACTGTTCCTGATGGCGGCGGAGCTTCGCTTCGACGCTGAAGGTCAGCCCCTAGAGTTCGAGGCGTGGCTTGCCGACCTCCGCCGCCAACTCCCTGGCCAGCGGCAGGATGGCGAACCGCTTTCCGCACACCTTGACGGTACGCTCCCCTGCCCAGACCCTCCTGCTATTCTGCCCGCTGACCCCACACCCACTGAGCGTGAGTCTACTGCTGCCACTGCCCGTGCGCGCTCTGTCTGGCTTTCTCGCGATGCAGTCGCCCAGCTTGCCATTAGCAACGCCCTCCCCCCGTCCGAGCGTCCTCGCTTTAGGTCCCTCACTACTGCTCAGGCATACTTAGATGCTGTCATCAAGCGCTATTCCACCCCTCCGGCTGCCTCGGTGGGTCGCCTGATCCTCCCGCTGCTCTTTCCTGACCTTGCTTCGTTCCCCACTGTCTCTGACCTCGCTGCCCACCTGCGCTCGATAGAGGAGACCTGGCGCGCCGCATGCACTGACGCACAGCTTAGAGCCCACCAGCCGCCCATTACCTCTACCCTCTACCTGCTTGCCACCCGCCTCCCTGACCGCCTTGCTGTCGCCCGCGACCGCTTCCTTAGTGTTCACCCCGCAGACCTCACCCTCACTGACTTTGTCGACACCCTGACTGTGATAGAGACCCGTCACCGCTCCATCGCCCAGGCGAGCGGTGTCGTGCCGGTCCCTATCTTTCAGGGTTGTGCCCCCGCTCAGTGTACCTTCTCCGACGGCTCTGCCGCAGTGGCTGAGACTGCTGCTGCAGCGCAGGCCCGTTCTGGGAAGGGCCGCCGCCCCAAGGCTGGGCGCGGCGGAGGGGGCGGCGGGGGTGCGGGCGGGGGTAGTGGTGGGGTCGGGTCGCCTGGTGCTGGAGCGGACGAGGGGACCCTGCCCAGTCCAGCTGAGTCGCCGCCCCTGCAGTTGCAGCAGCCGCAGCAGCCGCCGCAGTCGCAGCCTTCGCAGCAGCCGCAGCAGCCGTCGCAGACGCGGCAGACGAGTGTTCTCCCGCCAGGGTGGCCCGGCGCTGGCGGTGGACGGGCGCGTGGTGGTGTGCCGCGTGGTGGCTCTGCCGGCGGGCGTTGTCAGTACCAGATCCAGACCGGTCCTCGCCGCGGTTTCGTTTGCGGTAAGATCGGTCACTCCACTCCCCGCTGCTTTCGTCGCCTGGACGACCTCTTTCGTCAGCGTTTCGGCCCGTCGCCAGACCTCCCGGACTGGCACAGTTTGCTTAGTCGTCAGATTCAGATCTTTGATATGGACATGGATGCCATTGTTTCTGCTCTGCATGTGATGTATGCTGATGACTCTAGTGTGCTTCCGACTTATTACTCACTGTTGCCTAGTGTAGGTGTGCCTAGCTTAGCCTCCCCTGCTGCGTCAGGCGTAGGATCCCCTGCTTTGTGTAGTCTTGGTGCTTCTGCCGTCGTTCCGTCGCCAGACCCCTCGGCTTCGCTTTCCTTCACCTTGGACTCTGGCGCCTCTCGGTGTTTCTTCCGCGACTCCACCACCCTGACGCCGCTTCCTGTTCCTGCTGCCGTTTCTCTTGCTGACCCCTCCGGCGGCCCGGTAGTCGCCCGCAGTTCCACCACCCTTCCCTGTCCGGCGGTTCCTTCGGGCTCTCTTACAGGTCTGCATATCCCCTCGTTCTCCAGGAACCTAGTTGGTGTCGGCTGCCTCCAGGACCTTGGCGTCACCACTACGTTCCCTGGTCACGAGCGGTATGCTGTCTGTACCGAGGCCGCCACTGGTGCCCCCCTGTCCACGTTCCCCCGGGACCCGGTGTCCGGCCTGTTCACTCTGGACACCGTGCCCCCCCCGGCTGGAGCGCCCCCTCAGGTGGCTGTGTCTACCCAGGTTGCTGCTGCCTGCTCCTGTCGCTCCCTCACTCACCCGACCCTCCTGTGGCACCACCGCCTAGGTCACCCTGCGCTCCCGCGTCTGCGTCACATGTCCCAGCACGGTCTTGTCCTTGGTCTCCCAGGTTCACTCCCCGCGTTTCCCTCCTCCCCAGCTCCACCTTGCACTCCTTGTGTCGAGGGTCGGCTTCGCCGTGCCCCTCACTCCTCCTCGTTCCCCCCTACCGCCGCGCCGCTGCAGACCCTGCACCTGGACGTCTGGGGCCCCGCCCCCGTCCCTGGGCCGCGTCGCGAGCGCTACTTCCTTGTGCTTGTCGACGACTTCACTCGTTACACCACAGTCTTTCCCCTGGAGCGCAAGGCCGACGTGCCTGGCGCCCTCATCCCCTGGCTTGTCTCTGCGCGTGTCCACCGCGGTCTCCCTGTCTTGCGTCTTCACTCAGACCGTGGTGGCGAGTTTGCCTCAGGTGTCCTTGGTCGCTTTTGTCGTGCGGAGGGCATCACCCAGACGTTCACCCTACCGGACTCCCCACAGCAGAATGGGGTCGCTGAGCGACGCATCGGCTTGGTCATGGAGGTCGCTCGCACCTCCATGGTCCATGCCGGTGCACCCCATTTTCTGTGGCCGTTCGCTGTGCGCTATGCTTCTCACCAGCTTAACCTGTGGCCGCACCCTCAGCAGCCGCAGGTTTCGCCGACCCGTCTGTGGACTGGGTCTCCTGGTGACGCGTCTGCATTCCACGTCTGGGGCTGCCTTGCTCACGTCCGTGCCTCCGGCACGGACAAGCTCACTGCCCGCACCCTTCCCTGCGTCTTCCTCGGTTTTCCTCTTGACGCGTCCGACTGGCACTTTTACCACCCGCCGTCTCACCGCTTCTTTCACTCTCGTGACGTCACCTTTGACGAGTCCGTCTCCTACTACCGCCGCTTCCCCCACCGTGGTCCCCCGGTTACCCCCCCCCTGTTCCTGGTCACCCCTTCCCCGGTAGTCCCTGCCCCTCCTCCTCCTCCTCCCCGTCCCGCCCCCTCTGGTGTCTCCCATGTCACCCCCCTTCCGTCCGTGGACCCGGTTGAGGAGTCTTCTGACTCTGGTGGCCCTCCGGTGCAGTCCTCGCCGGCCGCCCCTCCCCAGGTGTCCCCTCCCCAGTCCCCTCCTCCGCCGTCCCTGCCGCCACTGCAGCCGTCGCCGTCGCCGCCGCCGCCGCCGCCGCCGCCGTCGCAGCCCCCGTTCGCTGACTCTGGGGGTGCTCGTTCCGGTCGCCCTGAGGGTGGTCCCTCTGGGGGTGCGGGTGTGGAGAGTGCCGGTGGTAGCCGAGGAGCAGCTTGCGGTCCAGATGTCGCCGTTGTGCCGCCGCAGCAGCAGTCCCCGCCGGTGTCCGCCCTTCGCCTGCTCGGCCTTCCGTCCCCCGACCCTGCGTCGGTTCCTCCCCGACCGTCTCCTCC